GTCTCAAAGTTCGGTGACAATCCAACGGTCGAATGGTCATCAATAACGAAAAATAGTACGACGGTACAATTATCCAAAAAAAATTGAATATTCGAATCAATGTATCAAATTTCTACGAACAAACTTTGGATATGGGCTCAGGAAATCAAGGATTTCCCGCTGTCCAAAATCCATGAAAATAGATTCTCCCCCATGCGCCGCCACACGCACCGCCGCGTGTGGTGGTTTCCGGCGACCACAAACTATGTCTAACTCCAAATTCTACCAAAATTTACAGGAAGATAGAGCTCAACAAGAGGAACAAGTTCTATACCTGACAGAAAGTCCAAAAGTGGACAGAAGAAGGTCAATTCCACTGATAAAGCTTCCAGGTGTCGATTTGTCACCCACAGTGGTCCAACAGGATCAAAGCTGGTTGAGATTTACTCTTGGGATGATGGGCTACAAAACAAAAATGGTGGCATTGACCATCGCTTCGCCGATTCACCAGAAAAATGAAAAGGGTGGTAGAAGCACCATTGGTTTTCATCGGTTTTTATGGCCTCACACTGCCACATACGGTGGTTAGTCAAGGTGGTTCTTGGTTGGATTTTGTAGAGGGGAGTGAGAGCTTCAAGATGGTGGTGGTGGCGTCGAAAAACTCCACCGAAGTTGGCCGAAATTGGCGTAAAAAATGGGATGTCGTGAGGGTCAATTGGGTCACGAATTGGGTTGGAGTTTCTGGGCCTTTTTGGGTTAGTTTCCTCCCCTCGAAAGTTCCTAATTTTCTAACCAAATTTGGAGACTTACTACTAATAGTAAGTCCACGTGTCTAAAGTTCTCACCACTTCCGAGGCTCGTAACTTCTCCGTTCTAACTCGGAATTAAGATCCGTTTGAACCTACGCACTCGTAGGGTCGTCCTCTATTCAAATATTTCATGAATTACGATAAAATATATGAGGATAAAATACATCCTCGTATAATTATGCTAACCAAATAGGGCATTTTCGTCATTCCCCACTTAATGAAAAATTATACGACATAATTAATTCTTAATCCGGAAGCGGGTTTTCACATTTTTCCCCATTCGAATTTCATAACCATAAATCGATCTTTTTTTTCCTCCACATAAACAATAAAATGAATATCCACATTTTTAAAATATTCAGGGTGTTACAGCTACCATTAGGATGTTTAGATAAGTAATCAGATGCAATTTCTGTTGGAATGTCACCCTGAAATTGAGGAATGCTTCTTGTGGTTAATAGTTGTTCACTTGGAATGATTGCCACGTCTTAAGGGTTGCATGCATGGATTTTTAAAGGGTTTTCACAAAACATAATGAGTCATGCATGTTTGATATACGTTCTATCTTGAATGCCACAAGTAGAATATACACTAGGAAAACCTATCCTTCAAAGTTGCATGGATAATTCATAAGTAATTAATAAATCTACATACGATTGTTAAGGGGATATCGGAACCCTAGTGCTTTTCCAAATTTATTTCTCAAAACCTTTTCTTTTTATCTGATTTCTTCTTAATTGGTTACTAGTTGTTTTTCCTAAATTACTTTTCTTAAATTCGTTTTTATTATATTTAAATTCAAAATTAACCCTTTCAAATCTTTGTTATCAAATAATTAACTAAGATTTTGGTTTTGCATAAATTGTTTTAAATAATCCATGTGGGAACAACTTTGCATGAGCATTTTTACTACAATTACTTAGTATTTTGTATGATTTTAACCCTCTTTGCGCAAGTACTAAAAATCTTATCAAGAAATTGGTGCCGCTACCGGGGATTGTTTTTAAACAATTTGTGCTAATCATAATTTTTTGTTAATTATTGTTGTCTAAAAAAAAAATTTCATTTATTGATGTGGAAGCTGGTACTTTGACACTGGGGGTTCAAGATCAATTAGTAGTTTTCAGTTTGTTTGAAGCAGCCAGAAAGCCAGCAAAACAACTTGATTGTATACGTATTGATGTTGTAGATGGGTTTGGTCATGCAAATTTTATGGCTCATTCAATAGAGGATCCACTGCAGCAGATTTTATATGGGGATTTTGATGCAGAAACAGATGATGAAGAGGTCATGGAAGTTATTCAAGCTTTAGACAGTGTGCCTACATTTTTGCCTAAATGGAGACATGTTTACGAGAGTTTAGGAGAGCCCAAATAGCCACTAAAACTGTCCAAAATTCAGCAACCCATATTGGAGCTGAAGCCTTTGCCCGAACACTTGAAATACGCACATTTATGGGCTGACCAGATGTTGCCAGTTATAGTTACAACTGATTTAACACATTGTGAAGATGAAAAATTGCTTAAGTGTTGAGAAAATATCAAGATACATTGGCGTGGACTATTGCAGATATAAAAGGAATTAGCCCAGCCATTTGTATGCACATAATTCTAATGGAAGAAGGCGTGGAACCCACATTTGATGCTCAAAGGCGCCTTAACCCAATCATGAAGTATGTGGTTCGAACTGAAGTAATGAAACTACTTGATGCTGGTATGATTTATCCAATTTTAGATAACCAATGGGTGAGTCCTACACAGGTTGTACCTAAGCGTACTGGAATTACAGTGGTAAAGAATGATAACAATGAGCTGGTTCTAACGCATTTGACTACTGGCTAGCGCATGTGTGTTGATTATAGGAAGCCCAATTCAGGTACAAGAAAATATCATTTTCCTTTACTTTTTATCGATCAAATGTTGGAGAGATTGCTGGTCGAGCTTTCTACTATTTCTTAGATGGTTATTCATGGTACAATCAGATTCTAATTGTACCTGAAGATCAAGAGAAAACGACTTTTACTTGTCATTTCGGAACATTTGCTTATCGACGGATGCCATTTGGGTTATGTAATGCACCAACCACTATTTAACGTTGTATGATGAGTATTTTCTCTTGTTTGGTTGAGCAGATTATGGAAGTATTTATGGATGATTTTTCATTATTTGGGGATTTGTTTGATCAATGTCTTCGGTACTTTAGCGATGTCAAGAGACAAATTTGATTTTGAAGTGGGAGAATTGTCACTTCATGGTTAAACAAGGTATTGTTCTAGGTCACTTGGTTTCAAGCAAAGGAATTGATTGGCCAACCTTTACCGACGGTTCAACAAGGATTTCTCCAAGATTAGCCAACCTTTGTGTAATTTATTGGCTAAGGATGCAACTTTTAACTTTGATAAGGATTGTTTGGAGACATTTAACACTTTGAAGATACTCCTCACTTCGGCCCTTATTATTCCAGCCCAGGAATGGAGCTTACTGTTTAGAATTAATATGTGATGCATCAGATTATACAGTTGGGGTAGTTCTTGGATAGCCAAAAGACAAGCTTCCCCAGGTCATTTATTTTGTCAGTAGAACTCTCAATGATGCACAGCTGAACTATGCAACCACTGAGAAAGAATTGTTGGCAATTGTTTTTGAATTGAAAAAATTTCGTTCTTATTTAATTGGGGCCAAGGTAATTGTCTACACAGATCATGTTGCATTAAAGTATTTATTATCTAAGAAGGAAGCTAAACCTCAACTTATTCGTTGGATTCTCTTACTACAAGAGTTTAATTTGGAAATTCCGGACCAAAAAGTCTGTGAAAACGTGGTGGGTGATCATTTATCAAGGTGAATTAATCTTGCTATTACAGAAGAAGACACATTGCGTCTAAATGAAAGTTTTCATGATGAACAGTTGATGGCCGTCCAGTACAGTACACCATGGTTTGCCGATCTGGTTAATTATTTAGCCAAGGGAGTTATTCATCCATATTTTAGTTATTAGCAAAAAAAGAAATTTTTGGCAGATGCAAAGTTTTGTTTTTGGGATGAGCCTTATCTATACAAGTATTGCCCATATTACGTTATTCGCAGATGTTTTCCAGAAAAGGAACATGACAACATTTTAAAGTTTACACATCATTATGCTTGTGGTGGACATTTTGGACCTAAAATGACAACATCTAAAATTTTGCAAAGTGAGTTGTTTGGCCTTCTCTTTTTAAGGATGAAGAGTGGGAAATCAGTCCAACAGAATGAGATGCCATAACAAGGTATTTTGGTTGTTGAATTATTCGATGTTTGGGGCATTGATTTTATGGGACCATTCCCATCATCACATGGAAATCAATATATTTTAGTGGCTGTTGAGTATGTTTCTAAGGGGTCATTTTTCCCCTGTTTGCTATCCTTCAAGTTATACTTAGTGATGGGGGTACGCATTTTCTAAACAAACAATTTTCTACATTACTTGCAAAATATAGGATTACCCATCATGTTGCAACCGCATATCATCCACAAACATTAGGCCAAGTTGAAGTTTCAAACAGAGAAATCAAACACATTTTAGAGAAAACAATCACCTCCACTCACAAAGACTGGAGTTTGAAATTAAGCGATGCACTTTGGGCATACAGAACAACATTTAAAACTGCGACTGGGATGTCCCCATTTCAGCTCGTATATGGCCAAGCTTGTCATTTACCTATAGAGCTAGAGCATAGAGCATAGAGCATTTTGGGCTATTAAGGAGTGAAATTTTGCTTATGATTCAGCAGAAGAAAAGAGTAAGCTGCAACTCAATGAGCTTGAGAAAATTCGTACTAAGGCTTATGAAATTGCACGTATACACAAAGACAAAACGACAAAACAAAAGCATTTCGTGACAGTCAAATTCTCTAGAAAGAGTTTTTGCTAGGGCAAAAAATGTTATTATTTAATTCGAGGCTAAGGTTATTTCCAGGAAAACTCAAATGTGAGAAAAATTGAAAAGAAGAAAGCTCATGATCCTAATATGCATATCATAAAGTTTTTTATGGGATGCAAAATTATTATAGTGAAGGGATTTTCAACCGAGTCAATCAAAATTCACCTTTTTCCTTATTCATTGAAAGAAAAGGCGAGAACATGGCTCCTTACATTACCATCTGCCAATATTACTTCTTGGGCACAATTGAGTGGCAAATTTCTTAGCAAATATTATCCAGCTTCTAAGACTCTTGATATGAGAATTCAAATTTTATCTTGTGCTCAAAAGCCACATGAAGAGTTTCACGAGGCATGGGAGCGGTTTAAGGAGTTATTTAGAAAGTGTCCTCACCTCGGCATTGATGGAGACACACGGATGGGTAAATTTTTTTAGAGGATTAAATTCAAACACCAAGAATCATGCTCATGCTTCATCATGAGGCTCATATTCAACTAAAATGCCTTGGAAGCATTCTAATTGTTTGACAACATGGCGTCTTAGTCTCAACAATGGGTAGCAGATCAAACACAAATTATGAGCGTTTTTTAAATGTCTATCAGATCTTCGCATGTATCTGCTCAAATAGAGAAGATCGGAAAAAAAATTGAAAATTTTGATGCAAAATTTGACATGATTTTGCAGAAAATAGCAGCTCCAGTTCAATAGAGTGTTGTCCAGCAACCTTCGCCATTTGCAGTCTGCTGACATCCACCACAGGGTAAACTACCGCCTCTCAGGCCCCCGACTGATTCTACCATAGAGGCCAACGATAGACAATAACTCCCCCTTCGAACACAGCTTACAACTTTCATCGTACTGTGCTCTCCAAAGAGCAACTCTTCTCAAAATCTCAAAAGGAAAGTTGATGAGTTGGAATCTCATCTAACTAAGGATTCTTGTGGTTTCGGAGGATCTAGCTGCAAAAGAACCAGGAACGAAGAGCTTTCCCCCCATTTTCCATCCAACTTTTTGGTCTTAAGAAGGCTGGTTTTAAGAATGAGTGATTGCCCTTTTCCGACCCTTACTGCCTGATAGGAGCATATTTATGCGACTTAGTTGGCTTGTTCTTAAGCATTTATGTTGTTTTTCTTTAGTTATTTTAGTGTTTAAAGTCATTTTCGTGCAATTTCAGGTTTAGAGACGAAGTATGCAAAGAAGTGCAAAATGGAGCATTTTAGAGCAAAATTGAGCTGCAATGGAGTGTATGCTAATGGAGCACAAGGAATGGACGAGTTTGAAGGTCAAAGGAGCTTAAGAAATGAAGAAATGAAAGTGAAGAACAAAGAATTCAGATTTGGAAACCAAAGTTTCTAAAGTTAGGAAGTTTCTATTCTTGGACGTTTCCATTTTCGAGAGTTTCTATTCTTGGGTTTGGGCTTTTAGATGACCTAAACCCTAATTCCTTGTGAACCCTAACCCTAGCCGCACCTAGGCCTCTAGAATATCTGATTTCCTTGACTTGCAAGGCATTCTAGAAGGCCCATCTCTAAACCCTAACCCTAGCCGCACCTTAGGCCTTATTCCCACTAAAAATCTGATTGTTTTAACCTAATTTCTGGTGGATTTGGGCTTCTAGAAACCCTAATCTGATTACCCTAGGGTTTTGGATGCCTATATATACTCATTATAACCCCTAGATCAGATATCATCTCCCATACACAATCATTCACGCCAGAAATCTGCCCTTGATATCTGCCGCACCTTTCCATCACCAAAGTCCCAAACTTCTGCCCAAAATCATCCCTAGCCGTACCCCCATCAACCCTAAACCTTTCCATACCATTCCCCATCCATTCTACACCACAAATAACCCCAAAAACCTGTTCTAAAGTTCTCTGCCGCAGCAAGGAGGAAGGAGAATTCGTTGATGAGCTTGCTGCCAAGTTGGAGCGTTCTAGGTGTTTTCTTTCTTTGGATTTTAATTTCTAAATTTATGTATCTTTGCTTTGCGAGTATGAGGAACTAAACCCCCCCTTGGCTAGGGGGGATTCGAAATACATGTTTATGCTTGCGATATGATTTGATTACTTCTAATTGCGTTTCATAAGTTGTGAATTCAATTTACTTATCTATGTGAATTACATTGATTTGTGTGTGTTGGTTGAGAGTGCACGCTTAATTATCATGCATAAATTGAATGCTAGGATATAAGGAATTTCACCTAATCGTTATGGACTTATATTCACAAGTAGTAAAGGTTGATGATCTCAATCGCGTTAAGTAAATTCTTGGCATAAGTTTCATGCAATCATAGCAACAAGTGCTTCGTCAATGCTTATGGTTTTCATAGAACTTAATGATTCTTGCTTGTATCTCTATTATGCAATCATGTAGGGGACTTGTGGGGAATGCTTTGGGTTGTCGTATGCAATCATCCAATTCAATAACGTTAGGAAAATCTGAAGGTTAATTTAAGCGGACCTAATTAACTTGGGGCGTTGAGAATTCATGGTTTATTGAAAAGCAATTGGAAATCGTTTTATATGCAAGTGTGACATGTGTGGAGATGAACCCCTTAGCTAGCTTTCCATCCATTCATTTAAGCCAAATTCGTTTTAAAATCTGTTTTGATTTACAAGTTTATGTTTTGTTTTCAATTTCGTAAAAACCAAATCCCCCTTTGTTTTCAAGTGTCAAATTAGTTAGAAAGTGTGTTAGTTGTGTTTTTAAGTGTTTTGAGTCAAGTTAAAACCTATTTTCGTCAAAATCTTGTTTAGAGTTCAAAACTGCCCAGAAAGTGGTTTTAAGGCAGTTTTGAGTGTTTTGGTGCTGTTTTGAGTCTTTTGGTTTGTTTTGGTATTTTAAAGTTTAGTTTTGTATTTTTTGAGTCTAGTTTAGTGTATTAAACTTGTTTTTACGTATTTGAGTCAGTTTTCAAGTGATTTTGCAATCCCTCATAATCCCCGGCCTAGAACGATCCCTACTTACATACTTACTACAATTGATAAAAAGAGGGTTAATTTGAGTGCTAGTTAATTTTCACATCAAATTTTGGCGCCGTTACCGTGGATTAGCAACTTTGCTAATCCCTTGGATTGTTATTTTCGTTTTTCTTATTAGATCAGATTCTTATGTTATTTTGTTTCTTGTTTTAGGTACTTGTTTATGACTCGGAGTTCTAATCCGGTTCACGAACATATTTTAGACTTTGACGACGATTTTGAGCGTGAGTTGAGACGAAAGAGGAAGAACCCGGAACCTAGTGAATCAAGTGCAAGTTCCGAGTCCGTTTCTGAATTTGAAGAGGAAGTGGAAGACATGGCAGTGGACAACCGAACGATCAAGGAGCTTTCCGCTTCGGGATTGGATATTGCCACACCTTTATGTATCCAATACCCTAGGGCGGCTCCAGACAAAACTGCCGAGTTCGAATTGAAGTCAAGCTTGTTAAATCACATTCCGAAGTACCATGGGCTGTCCATGGAAGATCCGAACAAGCACTTGAAGGAGTTTGAAGTCGTTTGCTCAAGCATGACTCCGGTGAACGTGGATGAGAGCATCTTGAAGATGAAGGCTTTTCCCTTTTCTCTCCTAGAGAAGGCGAAAGATTGGTTGTACGAATTGGCTCCCGGAACTGTCACATCATGGGAGAGCATGAAACGAGCTTTCTTGGAGAAGTTTTTCCCAACTTCTCGAGTCATCCTCCTACGTAAAAGGATAAGTGGCATTCAACAAGATGAAGGTGAATCCTTTCCTACTTATTATGAACGTTTTAAATCTCTTGTTGCTTCATGTCCACAGCATCAAATGAAGGAGGAACTACTTCTACAATACTTCTACGAGGGACTTCTACCAATTGAACGTCAAATGCTAGATGCCTCAGCGGGAGGAGCATTGGTGGACAAGACCCCTACGGCTGCAAAGATGTTGATTGCTAATCGAGCGTTGAACGCTCAACAATACGAAGGTGTTGGAGGCAACATCAAGTCAATGAGGTAAGTGCCATAACCGAACTTCAAAATCAAATCGCTAACCTTACTACGTTGCTTTCTCAGGTGGTGGAAGGTCCAAAAGTCAAACCCGTAGCTTCTTGTGGCGTATGCTCCATGCAAAACCACCATACGGACAAGTGCCCACAATTGATCGAGAATGGAGGGTGGGAGACACTCAATGCCGTGGGATATGGCAACCAATACCAATCACGTGGTGATCCGTTTTCCAATACTTACAATCCCGGTTGGCATGATCATCCGAATTTCAAATGGCGAGACCCCCAACAAGGCCAACAACAAAGTGGATTTAGGCAACAACCCCCGGGTTTCTATCAAAAGCCGTTGGCACCACCACAAGCCCAAGCACAACCTGCCCAATGCAATGCAGGTAATTCAAGTGATAATGATAAGATTTTTCAATTACTTACTACTTTGACGCAGGAAGTCCAAACTCAAAACAAAGAGAGGCAAATCCAAGACAAGAGGGTGGACAACTTGGAGAAGCAAGTGGGACAAATTGCCGAGTTCATGGGGCAATTTCGTGAGCAAGGAAGGTTGCCTAGCTCAACGGTGGTCAATCCGAAAGGTGGATTCGAATCTGCAAAAGCTATGCATTTGCGAA